GCATTTAACCCATCCAAAGTGCACACACACAGCAGTGAACACACACACACCGTGAACACACACCCGGAGCAGTGGGCAGCCATTTATGCTGCGGCGCCAGGGGAGCAGTAGGGGGTTCGGTGCCTTGCTCAAGGGCACCTCAGTCATGGTATTGAAGGTGGGAGAGAGCGCTGTACCGTCACTCCCCCCACCAACAATCCCTGCCGGTACGAGACTCGAACCCGCAACCTTTGGGTTATGAGTCCGACTCTCTAACCATTAGGCCACGACTTCCTAGTGAACACTAGGAAGGGTGAATTTTTGTGTTAACTGAGAAAAGCTTGGAAAAATATTATCAATGTAGATATCATTGACAACTGCGATACCTGCTCTCTGCCAAATATTAAATGCTTTATCATTAAGAGAGGGGGGAATATAGAATTATGATTAATAGGTGAAACCAATGGCAAATGTTGGAGGCCAAAATGGTTTCGAAATTGGGACCAAATTCGTAATGATTGCCGGACAATGGTATTTCCGTATGGAAGACGTGAGATAGCAGTAAGAGGGCCACACAGTAGTGCGGCTGGTGAGGCTGGGGAGCAAGAACCCTCTTCAATACTGACCCAAGCTGGGACCCAATCACAGAGCCGAAATTACTCTGAAACCAGAACAGTGTAGAATGTATATTTGCCGCCCAGTAGTAAAATAAGAAATTAGGAAGGGCAAGCCCACCCTCAACCTTTGGTTTCTGAAGTATGTCCCTCCGAATTCTGGCTGGTCTTTTGTTCCAAATAAAAGATGTGATGTGTTGGTTTAAAGTCTTAAAGAATGATTTAGATATAGAAATTGGAATGCACTGAAATAAATACAGAAATCTAGGCAAAATATTTATCTTTACTGAGTTCACATGTCCAGCCAGAGAAATGGGGAGGGCTGACCAGCGAGATTAGCTTTAAAGAGATCTAAGCACTTACGAGTAATTGTTATTCCTAAGTATGTAAAACTATGAGAAGCAACTTTGAACACTGAAACGCTTGTCGGTAAATTAGAAATTTGAGAATTTATAGGGTAAATCTCACTTTTACTTACATTCAATTTATAACCAGAAAAGAGGGTAAAATAATTTATAATTCTCAGGATATCGGGTAAAGAAACAGCCGGATCAGAGATATAGAGCAACACATCATCAGCGTATAGTGAGATTTTGTGAACTTTTTAAAAGTTTTTGAAGAAAACTTCAAATGGTCTTGCCATTT